AAAAAAAAAAAAAAAAAAAAAAAAAAAAGAAACGAATACGCTTGCAAAACTTTTCTCCGAGTGTTTATTTAAAATGAAATGCATTTTCTGATAATATTTTCTTGATTGTCATATTTTTTACCTGACCCTTGTTATTTGTTATATTGAAATTGTAATGTATCATAAACGCAATAAAAAGAATAAGCTATGTATAAATAAAAAAATTTTTTTGTCTTCTCATTCAATTTTATCATTAATATGACATGATATTTCAAAACTGAAAAAAAAAATAAAAACTTTTGTTTTGTTATGTGAAAGGTTATGTTTCGCTAATGGTGTTTGCAAAGATATGGATCTTGATGAATAGACGCACATACACATCAATTTTCGTGTATGTGTATCATTTAAATATGGAACACGTGACCAGACGTTACAAGTGTATATGTAACGCGGGAGACATGCTATATATTACAACCTACACATATGTACGTCTGTTCATAAATTCAACAGATTATTATTTAATGTCGTAAACAACAAAAGTAGTATAAGCATGAGCTCATTGTACTAAGAATGTACGTATAAAAATAAACTACGTGTTACGTACTATTTTGTTCGATAAAACAATTCAACAATATCTTAATTTACGAACGTGCAAATATTTAATTACTTAACATCACTATTCATATGTATACGTTCGTATATATAAAGAAAAAATTAGAAATATCAATAATACATGTAGAACACAAAGAAAATACGCATACCTCGATAGTCGTTCGAATCACTGGACGTCTGATTTTTTAACGTTGAACACACTTTCACTGTTCTTTGTAGATTGTACGCGACGTTTTGAAAATCACAAGCTTTACTTTAATAGTTTACAAATAAATTTATGTACAAGATCGCAAGGAGATTTAACGGAACGACCGTTATACCAAACAACGGTTTATTACCGGCACGCTTACTTGTACGAGCGTCAAGCACAACATGAGCACAACGACTTAACCTGCATTAATGTGAACGGAACTTTCTACTACGCATGTGTGCGCTTATTTTACCGCCATTTCTCACTTTAGGCGGGAATCGTTGATTTTGTTAACATAATACTTTGATTTTTAACGAACCTTTAAGACAGATATAAATTTTAATTATATTTTTATATATAATATTTACAATTCTTTATCTTTTTTATATTTTAAATAAAAATATTATATATTAATTTATTTATTTCTAAACAACGTATTATCGAGATAAAACTAATTCGATATATCGATCAAAATATGACTAAATTTTAAACCTTAAAATTAAAATTTATATTTTCTTTCATATTGATTATTAATAAAGATATTTAATTTTGAATTTTGAATCAAGAATGCATAATTTATGATTAAAAGAAATAAAAAAAAAGTTATGTGTATAGTATACAAAGAATCGTAATCGACTGAAGTACATCGATATTCACAATCTGCGCAATGAAAATTTTTCAAATTAATGCGCATTTTCCAATATTTCGCGCAGTTTTGGTGATGCGTCATGTGTGAAGTGATGTGTTGTATCGTGCTGCAAATTTTTGAAGAAAATTGCTGAGATTATTGGATACGAATCGGTAAGTACACAAAATATATCAATTATGTAATCTTTTTTTGATGTAGATAGAAAATAATCGATATAAAAATATAGAAAATATCGAGGAATATTCCACATTAGAAAATTAAGACGCTACTACTGTCCATTGTTCGTAGTACAGTTTTATTTTTTATTCAAATCAATGTGATTTCTTACTATATAATTATTATAAGATATGGAATTCATCATATCATTAAATATAAAATTTGATTTTATTGTTCATACATAATATGCGTAATACGTAATAAGAATTTGTAAAGTATCGAGATCATGAGAAACGAGAAAAATAAATATAATAAAATTTAATCTAATGTATATATAAGTTAATTGATTTAGTAGTTATATAGCTGTAGTTCTTTCTTCCGAAATTATCCAGTTATATCCAACAATTGATTTCGAATAAAATTACCATTGTTGAACGTACTACTTTTCACGGGTCTTAAACGTACATCGGTGGAAATTCGATCATTGATATTGCAGAATTCGATAGGTTTTTGTTTAAATTTTAATTTTTTGTATCCAATATCTATTTCGTTTTCAATGTTATCTTGAGAAAGCAATTTTTTATTATGCATATCGTATAATCTCTTCTTAGTTTTTTCCATGATAAAATGTTTCTCGTTATGATAGTTTTTCCAGCAATGCTGGAACTTAAAAAATATGTTACTCCAAATGCAAAATTCTTCAACTGAAATCCGAAAATTATAAAAAATATATCGTTATATCGAAAATTAAAAAAAAAAAAAATTTGCAATAATTTGTAATCGTAATTCGCATAACGTTATATGATAATACGTGAACATATAGGATTTTTATACCGTATAGGAAAAATGTTGTGAGTACGAAGATTGTAATAGGAAGAGTAATGTTAGAGAGGAGTGTATTAGCTATATTAAAAAGCGCTGGTCCTTCGCACAGAGTCATCCCTTTCATAGTATTCACCAACCATGGTAAATATAGATAAGGAATGTTGTATTTATCAGCGAATATCATCATTAACGTAGTTATCAGTCCTGTGATCACGTTCGTTATGAGAATTATAATCTTCAGATCTGTCAAAAAAAAAAAAAAAAGTTTAAGAAAATTTAAATTCTGAACATTCGAATTGAAAAATTTTAAATATTTAAATTTCCTATTTCTGAATGAATTAACAATTATAGTAATTTAAGAATAGGAAAGACGAGGAAAGAGATTCGCGATTATTCTTTTTATTGTCGAACGGTATATATATATATATATATATAAATATAATATATTATTTAAAATATTTTTACTGTAAGTTCGCCGAAAAATAGCATTAAATGCCGCCGATTTGGTCACAGGACTTCCATAAGAAGAACGACCTCCGGTTTCCAAAGTAATGCAACTTAAACAATGTATTACGAAACATATCAATGCCAGATACAGTACTTCTACCTAAATTTAATACGATAATATTTCATAATGCAATATTAACATTAACACGAAATATAATACTCAACTATATCTTCGTTTAAATTTTTTGTATTCGCCTGTATCTTAAGAAAATTTTTGTTATCTTGATCGCTTTCATCTTTCCCCTCTGTACAAGTAGTATAGCTAACATTTTTTTGTAATTTTAATGGCATTTTAATTGAATTTCATTAAATTATTTATACATAATCGAGTTTTTGGTTATATCGATAGATTCTATCCACGTGTTTTTCAAGTTATATACATATATATATATAAAACATATATATACATATATAAATATATATGTATATATATATATATATATATNATATATATATATGTATTAATAAACAAACGAAATTGCTAAATAATATTCCAATTAAACTGCAATTTCAAGTACGTCGTATGATTTCTTTTATTATACGTGTTACAAAATTTTACAATAATTTCAACTAAATTGAATATTTTTTTCCTAGAATTAATTTCCATTCTTTTCTTTCGTTGTACGTTCAACGAGTTTGTCGAGCTTGTCTGTGAAACAAACAAAATACTTGAAGCCAATTATGCACGGTCAGAACAGCCAGTAAAATTTCATCGCGTTTTACATGAAGTCCATCCAAAAACATTTTCACGCAGAATACTATGAGTTCCACGATAATCACGCATAATTGCATCAAAAGCCAGGGCGTATGCAACATTGGATATTCCTGAAAAATATATAATTACATTCGAAAAAATTATGTTTAACTGGAAGATAATCGTCTTCGAATCGCTCACTGTAATTGCACCAAGCATGATTAAAGTGTAGTGCTCTATTCCCAGAATCGAAGTCATTAATTTTAGATCCCTCTCCACGTCCAAAGGGACCACTAAAGGGGAGAAGAATTAATTTGTTTTTTTTTTTTTTTTTTTTGGTTNTTTTTTTTTTTTTTTTGGTTCTCTCTCTTTCTCTCTCTCTAATCTGAAACGGAATTTAACGTACCGGCCTCGTTGTTTCTCGTTTGCGAGGGTGATCTGATCGGTAACTTGCAATTAATTATTCTGACGATATCAAACGCTGTAATCATCTATCGAATTAAACAAATTTAAATCAAATGGAAATTTTCTTTCTCCATATTTGCATTATAACAAAGGTTGAGGAGAGATCGAATTCTCTCGATGAATCGAATTTTATAATGTTACAAATTCTCGAATCCTCATCTTCGTTTTGACAGATGGAACGGATTCGCGAACTCTGGTGTTCTATTATGCAGAAACAATTAAGGAATATTACGATCGACTAACGGTCCCAATGAGGCCGAGTATGATCACGTAGATCGAGTTTCCCATGATGTAATGGTCGCATAGTGTGCACGCCAGTTGTCCAATTTGCTGAAAAATTATCAAATAAATCATCCAATTTTCAATATCCTCTCGCTCTCGTTAAAAATTCTTAAATTACTAACTAAGGATACTCCGCTAGGTTCGTTAATCTTTCGTCTACATCGAAATTTCATAGTTTATCCCCCTCGAATTTTACCTCGAATTTAATAACCAACAAGAGAACGATGGTGATCACGCCTCGTATTTCGTACTTTCTTCGGGAAAGGTGTGCGAATTTATCAATTTAGATCACGTGACACGTCTTAATTTCGACAATTCGTAATTGTTTCGAGAAAGCTCCCTTACGATTCGACCATTCATATATATATATATGTATATATTATCTCATTTGAGTAACGGTGATGAACGTTAACGACGTTGAACACGCGTGCACACACAGGCGAGTACACGTGTGTGCGCGTGTTCGCATACTCACCGAATTTTTGTTTGCGAGCACCGTTTTCAGACTGGAAAAAACGGAACGTTTGCGACGACGTGCCATGTTTCAAGCCCTCGTTGAATTCTCATAGCCGCGAGTTAGTCTCTCGGGCAAATTTTTCCCACCCGAAAATATATTCCACCGAAATTTTCTTCCAAGGTTATACAGTTTACACCTTATAATTTCCATTCAATAATCTTTGCTTTATGAACAATTTGAATAACGTCGTGGATATTGCGTTTCACTTCAAGGAGTCTAGCCTGTATCTCTTTCCATCTCCAGATCGAGGAAAAAAAAACGAAAATTATCACACGATTAACATGTATTCCGATAAAATTGAATCGACGACGGGCTTAGAAGTAAGTCCTCTTCCTTCTTCACTCGATCCGATAGATTCCGGTAATCGAGATTTCCGGAAAATAATCTTCCTATTATCGGGACTGGTTAAAACGATTGGATCGTCGTCGTTTTCCAGATGAACGATCGCGATGAATTTCTAACGAGAAAATTCAAAACGGATCAAATTTCGATAGAGAAGATGACGAAAGAGGAATTCGATTTTGCGAAGAGCACCGAAAGTGAGATATTGAAAATTTTTCAAGCTCTATTGTTATCCATATGTATGTTGCTTTTGAGTTATCACAGCGTTCGTTATGGCCGAACCGAGTACAGTATCTTGGAAAATGGTGAAATCACCGAGGGTTATGCTCATAAGGCTGTGGTCACGTTGAGTTTAGGTTATTCCACACCCTACGCGATCGTCTCTTTCCTGGCAATCGGCATGCTTGCTTACTCTTTGATCTCGGTGAGAAATATAGATATATATATATATAACAATTTGTTGTTCCCTTCTATTATCGTATTAAATATACAATCGTTAAATATTGTAGAAAAATCCACGTTGGAGTATTCCATCTATAGTACTTTATCTTGCCGACCTGGTTTGCAGTATCAGTGGCGCCATCGTCGCAATTTGGTTATTTTTCTCTCATTTCCCATTCGTAACAGCCTTGTCTTACACGTTAGGAACGATTTTGCTAATACGTACGTTTTTACCATTCACCGTCTATATTTTCTCTAATCTCTTAATTTTTATCATTAATTTTACGTTCGCTTATTATTATATTGATGAACGAATTTTTAAATTTTACCATTTAGTTGGAGAAATTTGGATGTGGCTAGGCGTCCTTCGATTGTACGAGCAAAGAACTTTCAAATGAACTTTTCGATCGATCAACGACGATTGACGGGAGAAGCTAAAAAAGAAAGAAAGAAAGAAAAAAAAAAAAAACGAGTGGACGACACGTTTTGTTTAAAATTATATTTTATGAGCTACATGTGTACAGTTTCGTAATAAAATACATATATCAGTCGTCACGTGAGATGCATTAATATACTCGAATAAACTGTAGGACAGTTTAAAGCATCCGTTGGACACTTTGGTCTCGAGTTGAGAATCCGAATTTCGGGACAGTAATATAACCTACGAGAGAAATATATGAAATATTATTTCTTAAATATATATAGCCAACATTTCTTTTTTTTTTTTTTTAATCTTCAAAATATTCTTGAATTCGAAATTTTTGATCTTCAAAATCTACCTTGGACAGTATTTTTCCACCGCTTCTCTCAACGTGTGTTTTCCGTTGTGATGATTTTTCGATATTTCTTGGACAACGAATCCCATGAAAGCTTGACACGGTACTCCTGTCAATTGTATATCGTTTTCTGGCTCGATGGTTGCTAGTTTGTCCGGCAAACATTCTTCTTTATTGTTACTGGGGAAACGGAGAAAAGTGGGAAAGTAAAAATATCATAAACATATCGCGTGTCGTCGCGAATTTACTTATTTCGAATTTCCCTCTCACTTGCAAAGAAAACTTTTCACAAAGTCTAAACTGCAGAACATGTTCGGTTTAAGCGCAACACCAGGAACGCTCCAAAGCAATTGCGCCTTGGCAGCGATCTCGAGAACTTCGTCACCCAATTTTTTCGCAACTTTCGACAGTTTCGAACTGGAAAGAAAAAATACGTTCGAAAGAATCAATATGATCAAAATAACAAGTATTTTTATTCGATTCAACTTCGACTCACCCTTTGAAGAATTTATCGATCGACACATTGATGTTCCTTATATTTTCGTTTCCAGCCACCAGTCGTTGCCTAAGCCTATCCTCTGCACTCAATATCGGGGAACGGGTATAATTATTCGAGTCGTTCGATCTAGATTCCAGCTTCGTTCTATCGATGCTCGAACGATTCGAGCTTTCCTTGTTAGGTTCATCCCTCATTAAATTTATCAGATATATCTACGGTATATAAATATTAGAGATTTATTTTCTCACTCTTATCTTTCTTATATAAGAAATTTCAAATTTCAATATATATTCGATACATTGAATTCTGGGTGCTTTCTAGCCGCGGTCTCGATGTAACAATAATCGGTCGTAGACCAGTTCTGGTTATCCAATTTGATAAAATACGCGTTGGACGATGCTCCAACTTCCAGGATTGAGATATCTTCGAGTCTATAAAATTTTAATCGAACGGTTAGAAGAATTTTGATTCCAACGATCGTTCAACGAGATCATTTCGTTTTGCATACGAAAATCGTTTTCGTGGACACCTGTTACCGACAACGGTGGGCACGCAGATGGCCACCGTGACGAAGATCAAGAACACCACGCTTCCTATGATCAGACAAGCTGCCAGGAACGCGAAGAATAGATCTGCTGGCCATTTTCGTAGTTGATTCACTACGCCTTTGATTATCGGTGTCTCGGTCGGTAGGTCTGTGAATCTGGCAAACTTGTCGCCATTATTGTCCGGGTAGAGAAGTGAAACGTCTTCTCCAAAGGGATCTGTACAGTTTTTCGATAAATTCCACGATATGATGAAGTGTTTCACACAGATTCATTCAATTTTTTCATTTTACCTTTAAATTAATTCGATTCCACGAGAACAGAGATTCAGATAAGCTTTATCATCGATACAACATGTTTCCTTTTAATATCGCTTAATCTCGCGCGAGACATCGAGAAGAATTTTAATTTTAATTTCGAGTCAAACGCGTTTAAGTTAGGAAAAAAAAAACTTCTTTTCGTGTAAATTAAAAAAAAAAAAAAAAAAAAAGAAAACATGACAATGATCGTGTACACGATTGACAAAGAAATACCAATACCAAATGCACAATTTCCATTCGTCAATTATTGTTTTTTTTTTTTTTTTTTAACTCGCGGTGAACTTTAAACCAGTCTCGTCGGTAAATCGTCTCGAGACGAGATCCAATCCGGCGTAAAGTCTGATTACTCGAGGAGAGTGGAGAAAATTGGCGGCGTGGTTTCGAATCAAAAGGGGGGAAATGAAAAGTCGAGTAATAATAACGAGTTTTCAATCTTCTCTTCGATCACTTACCCTTCGTGTACGGCATAATGTCGATACTTTCACACTGTTAACGTCGTTCTCGTCTTCGGCCGTTTATGCAGTTAGTTCCGTTCGCCAACTCAGCATTTCGCAATAATTGGCCGCATTTAAATTGAGTCACGACGAATTGCCAGATTACGGAGGTGGGCTACGTCGTACCGTTGGCATAATGTTCAAAGTGGAGCATCGAAACGCGTTTTGACCGACGAAATCGCGCGAAATGGGGATATTCGCGTGGTAGAATCCGACGACGAAGGTTATCGTTTAAATATCGCTCGCTTGTTTCTCGATACGTTGAACTCGATCGTCATATGCGAAACTCACAATTCACCCTATTGATTTCTATTTTTGTAAATTAGAAAATAGTACACACATATATATATATATATATATATATATATATATATATATATACATACAGAATATACATACAGATATATATACATATATACATATATATCTTAAGGTCAATTTTTAAAGGCCAGAATGAACGCAAAAGTTAATGCTTCAGACGAGAAACGTCTGATTGAGTCTTATTTATCGAGTTGAAATTCAATTGCTCGAATCGTTCGTAACTTGATAAACATTTTGCAGCATTCGTTTGAATGTATTAATATTCCGTATGAAGATCGCACAAAAGGGGGAAGGAAATTGTACACGCGTGAAAAATTATACGATGAAATATACTATGTTTCGCACTTGAAATTCTATACCTGTGACGATATTTACAAGTATCTCATAATCCAAAGGATTATTTCCATTTCGTCGAAAATAATTATCCAACGTTCGTCTCTCGGGGGAAGAAATTATGGAATTACGTTTTCCGTTTAGATTTCGAAATTGTCTTTATTACACACAAATAACATTTTCACAATTTACTCTAGAAGTCACGATGGCAGGTATCCATGTCCCTGGAGAAAGCTCGGGGCTATCGTTTCGGACCCGGAGTTTTCTCCGCCCAGTCTGTCTATAAATACGTCTAAATATCTGATCACGGCTCGTCCTCGTGGATCGAATCGAAGACGTAGATCGTCCAATCAATTTTCACGATCGATGCGAGTGTCTTTTATTGTAAAACGTATTTCTATATTCGTATGTGTACGTACTATTGTTGTAATAGTAAAAGAATAGAGGCAATAAATATTAACGGCGCTATTATATATATTTATCTTCGACGGTGAAAGCTCAACGTTGCCTTCTTCCTCTTCAGAGGTAGAAAGTAAAGTAAAGGCACTTCTTTCTCTTCGTTTGTAACGAGACGGACTACTTTTCAACTAATTCGAGGTATTTGGCGCGTAGAATTTTCGAATTGGCGCGAATTTCTCTTCTCCACTTCTCGATCTTTTTCTAATTTTATCTATATAGATCATTTTTACAGAGGGGATTCAACAGAGGAGAATCGAACGGTATCGATGAATGTTTATTTCATTATTGATTTGCTCGATCATAAGGATGCATGGACGTGTAACCAATGACTTCAGTCAGAGACATCGTTGATTTGATACGTTTGTACGTCTTTAAATTTGCAAAAATATATATTTTTTTTTCTCTTGCGCTTACGCGATTTTATATATATGTGTGTGTGTGTGTATACCTACATCTAACGAGTATGCCGACTTTAAATGCTTAAACTTAATTGAAACTTTTTTCGTCGTCATTTGTACAAATTTTGCGAATATCTCTAAATTATTTATAATATGGACAGTAACTCTAACGAAGCCTTGTTCGAAAGCCTTGTCATTTAAATTATTGTCAATTACATTCACTTCTAAAGGATTAATTTCACTAAAAATTAGATGGAAACGAGCGAAAGAAACGATTCGATCGATTCCTTCTTTTCGATCCTTACGTTATTACGGAAGCTTCGCGGTAACCGACCTGCGGTTCATTTCAATGTATCATTTACACAATCGATGTAAAATAGCGAATCAGAAAATAATTGTGCGTTATCCTCTACTTAATTTACTTAATCCATATATAATCGTATATATATATATATAAATTCGCTTACATAGTATAGTTTGGAAAAATTAACTACGCGTGTTGAACGAACGATATAAACGAAATACACTTTTCCCTCCCCTTCACTTTTCCAACCCTCGATCACGAATCCCTCGTTAAACGAATCGTTAAACTAAAAAAAAAAAAAAAAAAAAAAAAAAAAAAAAGAAGAAAGAACGTTCTTTTCTCGGAAGAGAAAAGAATCCAAGAGACAAAAAAAATACCAGGCAGTATATACCAACTAATTTAAACATCTTTCCAATTTTCCAATTGAATCGAATCCGGTGAGAGTTGGAACCAAGCTCATCATCTCGAACACTACTTCTACTTCCCGTTTTCCAAGAAACGAAAAACCCTGAAAGTTTTTTCGGTTGCGACACGATTACAACCGACGCTGGAGATCGATGGAACCCGCTTTTTCCCCCCGTCAGACGCTCGTGTAGGAGATCGGCTGTTTCCTCTCGCCGTATCCACGAGCATCGCCGTCGTTCGCTGGATTCTCGCTGTCCAACGAGTCGCTGTTGTCGCTGTTGGGCCGCGACACCCCGAGGACCTCGTTCACGTCCTGGAGCTGCGCGTTCTCGTAGCTCCTTCTGTTCCTCGCGATCACGGGGGACCCGTTGGGAAGTTGCTTCCTCCCGTACTCCGGGCTTGAATTCCACTGCGCGGAAGCCTCGTAGAAGCCTGACTCAGGCGACGCGTTCGACACGGGTGGAACGGGCGATTGTCCGCCCTTCGAACGGGGCGACAGATTGGGGTCGGAGAGGGACGTTCCGCACGCCTCGTTTAACATGTCGCGTCGAACTCCGGAGGCCGAACGTTTCGACGATTTCTCGATCTCGATCATCAATCTGTCGTCGTTCGAGTTCAGCCTTCTCCTGGTTTCCGGCTCCGCCGGAATCTCTTTCGACTGCCCCTTCGGCCAGATCATCCTTCTCCCCCCGTTCGAACACTCGCCCGTCTGACGTTTCGCGAAACTCTCTTTGCCCCCAGCCTCTTTGCTCGCGTCTATGGGTATCAACAGATACTTCCTGGACCCGTGCAAGTTCCTCCTGGATCCATCCAACGATCTCTTGTCCTCTTCCAAACACCCTCGCAGGATATTCCTGTGGTAGAGGCTCCTCTTGGAGCTGTTCAAAGATCTTCTCTCCTCGTCGAGGAGGGGAGGGGGTTTGGCGGCCGAGCTCCTTCGATTGGCCGACGACTTGAACAGCAACAACGGGCTTCCCTCCCTCGACGCTTCCGGCTCTTCGAAGATGATCTCTCGACTGTTCTTCAAGATCTCCTTGTTCACGGCGTCTGGCAGGTGTTGCAGATCGATCTCGCCCATCACCTGGATACCGTCGGGATCCAGATCGAGGATCTTGAAGTGGGGATTCTCGTTTCGGTGAGGGATCGCCACAGGCGGGCCGTGATAGTTCGAATCTCTGTAAGCGTTTCGACTGGTGGTGGTCGCCTCGTCGGCGCTTGTCTCGCTTCTGCCACCGTCCAAGTAGTTGAGATGATGATGATTCGGATGATGGTGATGATGCTGATGATGATGACTCGTCGCACGATGACCGTAATGGCTCTCTTGACAGGACTCCGTTAAGAAATCCTCATCGATTATTACCGTACCTGGAAAACTTCTGCTTAGAGAATATCCAACTTCGATCCCCTTCCATCGAACGAATATATATATATATGTATTTTTATTTCTTTTTTTTTTTTTTCCATCGCGAACGGGACAAATTTGAACGGTTAATCGTTCCGATAAGACGCGAGGAATGCATGACTTCGACTCTAATCTCAGAATTATTTCAATAACAAGCAACGAATACCGGTTACGCTTACCGGAAGATGATTTAGCGTATGTATTTCTCTCTACCCTTTTGTTTACCCACCGACAACCATTCCGTGTCCATTTTTTCGCGAAACGAGTCAGAACGGCACGAGATAGACGGACAACACGAGACAGGCAGACACAGAAGCGCAGATCTTCGAGAAACTCGACAGAGATAAGACAACTCTTCCCGCTAAACTTCGAATTGATTCGTTCGAATTCCCTTCGTAGAATCTTTGGTGTTTGCCTTGGAAAGTCGAATTGATGGATCTATTCACGCGTATTTTTCCCCTCTGTCTGCTTCCTCTCTCTCTCTTTCTCTCTCTCTCTCTCTCTCTCTCTCTATTTTCCAGTTCGAACGATCGAGGCACGGATCCCGTAGATCCTAGGCCCCCGAGTTTTCGTCGATCCATGGAATGTCGATCCGAAGTTTCGGCGATCCGTGCGAAGAGTGTCCTTGAGAGGCAAGGAACTCCGGGGCGTCCGATTGGTGGTCGGTGGTCAATATCACAGGCGCGGATTTCGGCTCGCTAGGAATTTTCCTCAGGCCTCCATCTACGGTTACACACCAGCACCAAAACAGTGTGAGAGAGGGAGGGAACACGAAGGAAGGGACGAGAATCCCGTTCCCAGAAACTTGGTGCGGAAACTTCGTGCGTTTGGCGTGCAAAAAGAAGTTTGCTTGTCGATGGAGAAGAGAAGAGAGAGGGGAAGCGAGGCGAGAAGCGAAGCGGCGGCGGCAAGCTTTCGAGCGGGAGAGGAGAAGGAGAAGGAGAAGGAGGAGGAGGAGGAGGAGGAGGAAGCGAGAAAAGAGGACGCGGCCTCTCGTTGGGTATCGATTAGTTTGATTCGCGTGTTCATCCCAATTAACGAAACGCGCTCGACCTTGTCGTATCGTTAGTGCTTGTTTCGCGTGTTATCGAGCTCGATGCAAATTTTTAATTACACAGGGTATACTCCGCTCTGGTGAAAAATTGACGATTGCTTTGCGACGCTGTGTTGCGTGTGTTTGCGCGCTCGTGCGTGACGATTCCCGTTCTTTCATACGGAGCAAGAATCGGAAAGATGATGGATTGATCGGAGATCGGGGATGCAAAGAGTCGGCCAATTCTAACTCTATCCAACTAAACTAAAATTCTCTATTCTAAAATGCGAAATATATAAATATATATATATATATATACACGTGCATCCGCTTTGGATACCGAGGATATATACCCTCTCGCTTACCGTTCCCGTGACGAAGCTCCTCCTGGGCCTTGTAAAATTCGGCGAGCTCCCTGCCCGAGCACAGAGGGGTGCCCACCTGAGTGGTGCTGTTGAACAACGAGTAATCCACCTCGTAGCCCTGCCTCTCCTTCGAGTACATGACCATAGGCTCGAACCTGTAACCCCACAGGATCTCCTGGGGCAGGTAGCTCGATCTCGCCTGGGTGGTTTGCCCGGTCGACTCTATCGTTCCCTCGAGGATGGCCACGATCTCGAACCTTTCCGTCAGCATGTCCTCCGCGGACATGTTGTAGAACGGGGACTCCTCGTTTATCCTGTGGACGATCGTTGTCGGCCATATGAAGAACAGGTTCCCGTTCTGCCCGTCCGTCCCCACCGCCAATTCCTGTTGATTCTGCGACAACACCTCCCCCTCCTTCGTCGTCCTCGACCTTATCAGCTGCGCCCTGATCGCTGCCCCGATTATGTGACTCTTCCTCATGTCGCCCACCCGAAACATGAGGCACAGCTCGCCGTCCCTCTGACAGATGACCGCGTTCCTCGAGAACAGCAACGTTTGAGTCCTCTGCTTCGGCCTGCTCATCTTAGCGAACACTATGCCCACCATGAACGCCTGGATCATCACGCCCACGATGCTCTGGATGCACATGACGAAGATCGCCTCCGGGCACTCCTCGGTCGTGCCACGGCTCCCGTAACCGATCGTGTGCTGGGTCTCGATGCTGAACAGGAAGCAGCTCGTGAACGAGAATATGTTGTTCACGCAAGGCGTCCAGTTGTTCTCGATCTGGTAGGGCGGCAGGTGGCGCTCCTCGAAGTCGCCGTGGCTGAACGCGATCAGCCACCAGATCACGGCGAATCCCAGCCACGAGAGGACGAAGCTCAGGCTGAAGCAGAGCAACATCCATCGCCATTGGGTGTCCACCAGGGTCGTGAAGATGTCTCGTAGGAAGCGCAGGGAACGTCGAGAGATACGGGACTGGAGGACGTTGCAGTCCCCGTTCTTCAGCACGGCTCGACGACGTAGCTTTCGCGTTGGCCATGCCCGGTACCGACTCCTGCAAAGCAATCACAGAAATCGCGCCATTCCGTCAATTTTCAAGATTTTCAAGAGAAATCGTTGGAAATTTTTTTTTTTTTTTTTTCGATTTTTTAGAACGGTCTTTCCGATCCTTTCGTTCTTACAATGCTCGAAAAAGTTTACGTTCGCGACGCGAGGGATATCCGTGCGAAATTTAAAACTCGTCGAGGAGAGTTTTTTAAATAGATTTTACGCGATTTTAGATTCGCGATTCATTGGTTCAAAACGATAGATCGAAATTGATCGCGCTTCTTTTCTTATCTTTTCTTTTCTTTTTTTTTTTTTTTTTCTAACGATAATCAATCTCGAGTTTCCGCGAAAACAACGAAGATCACGGCGTTGGATAATGACGTCGAAAGATTCCACGAAAGATTCTTCGGATTGTTACAGGTGCGAAATAAATCATCGACGTAGAACCGAATCTCGAACGTTTCGATCGCGACATCTAATTATGCTGTACATAATATTTCTCTCTCTCTCTCTCGCACAACAACAGACGGAATAAATTATTTCTCGGAACGAGAAGTGCGGAGACGTGAGATCGCGCTACGAAATTGTCGCCCAAGGCCTCGTCGACTTTTGTACACACGTTTCTTAACTTAATTTGAATCTGTCGCGGATTTGAATAACAAATTTCGTACACCGGTATTGTTGTTTTCCGCTCTCGTTCTTCTCTCCTTATTCGAACATCACGAACCACGGACTCGTTATGAAAATTCTCCTTAATACGCGAGATTTGCGCGTGAGACCGGCGAATAGATTTGTAAATCGTTATTTTCTCTGCAATACGCGAAATGCACACTCCTACCGGGGACACGAATATTTTTATTCCGGTAAGCGGATAAACGTGTACACACGTATACGGCGATGATGGAAAATTTTATGGCCTATGCGTTCGTAGCGTGTACATTCCATTTTCGAAAATAAATGGGGATTACGCTTTTTTTCTCTCTTTCTCTTCCTTTCTTTCTTTCTTTCTTTTTATTTTTTTTTTTTTTTATCGAGAATAAAATACTCACGATGGATTTCTCCGCATTTTACGACATCTCGAATCACGAATCTTTCCATGACAAACCTCGACTTGATATTTCCGGTGAATTATCTCTTTCCAGAAACTTTCGACTCATCGATTCATCGATGATTAGTTGGTTCGTTTAAATTAGTTTAATTTCGCCGAATCTCCGTTTCCCCCGTTTTTACGACCGTTCCCTCGTAACTCGAAACGACGAGTTTCTTTTTACGACGAGCAAAAATGATTCCAACCCGTGTTTCCAACGGGACACGTGCGATTTGTTTTATCGCCGAGTACACTGTTGCCACTTGCTTTCGATTCTTCCGTCCTCATCGAGGGAAACACTTCGAAACACGTCGAATCCAACGATGATAAATTAATCGCGAAATCGCGATTCGATCGATATACCGATACGATCGATCTCGAGGAAAAAAAGATGTTGAGAAAAGGACGGAGAATCGCGTTGAGGAGAGAACGAGAGCACGGCGCGTGGTATAGAGAATATCGCCTCGGCCAGTTCGATGATCCGTCTGGAGACCTTCGCGCTCGCCACCCTTTCATACTCGCCAGAAGGAAGTCGCCATTTTGACTCCGACTACGATAACCGTAGCAACTGTTATCTACCAATTTATTTATTGCCACGCGTGAATCAATCGGTGATTCGCCGACACGCGACGACGCGGACTCCTCTCGTTTTTCTAAAACGTCTCTCGTTCAAACCGGATCGACAGGATTTCACCTAAAATTTGGCAAAATTTTATTTGTTCGGAAAAAAGAAAAAAAAAAATATGTGCGACGAATTCGATTTCGATTTCCATTCTCATGCACGCGCGCAGAACGAACGTTGGATCTTCGTTGAACGTGATATTACACGACCTCGAATAATTCGTCGGTTATCGGTTGATGTTATGTTCTACTGTTATCGAGAATGATAACGCTAGTTCACAACAAAGGCGATTTTTTTTTTAATTTTTATATTAAATGAAAAGAGAGGAAGAGAGAAAGAGAAAGAGAATAGATAGGAATTAAAAAATTGAAATATCGAGAGAGTACTTTAACGGGCTATTTGAAATTCTTTTCTTTCAAAATATCCCCAGAATATCGCAAGAATGCTCGTTAAATTAACACCCACGAAACATGACAGTATTCCACGCGCGAAAAAATTACACGAGAGACGCGTATGCGAATTTATCAAGCGTTTTTTTTCAAGTAATCGTTTCCTCGTTATATCAACGAAACGTGGAGGGAGACGTTTTAAAAATATAATCGCGTATCGAGTTAAATTGATATATAAAAATAACGAGCAGGCAAAGGAGCAGAGGATTAGAAAAAAATATATATATAATATTCGTTCTTAATTTCTGTCGTAGAATAACTAAACTAAATTCTTCGCTTATCGATAATCGTGCGCGATTCTCATTGAAATTTTACCTGCTTCTGAAAGAAGAATTCGAACTCTTCTGCGCTTTTACTATAACGGGTGCGGGTTGGGTCAACGATGCCAACAATTTTTCCTTCTCCTCCATGTCCGGCGAGGACGACTTCGAAATTGGATCTTTCGCAACGTTCCCATTCATTTCTGCTTCTTCTTTTTTCTCTCTTCCTTTTTTTTTTTTTTTACCACGATTCGCTCGATTTTTTGGAGAAAAGAAATATACGATCTCAACGATGATTTCCCGCTATATATTCCTCATGCTTTTCCTCGAAAAATAATAAAGTTTCCCTCGACAAATTTCTAGCTCGAATGTATCTCGATTGTATACGTGTGTATAACGATCGTGAGAGATATCGACGCGATGCACCATGCAATCGCAATCCCTCGTTTCTTATCGGTAAGGATCAATGGTTTAAGGATTTTTTTTTTTTTTGTTTCCTCTGTGCAAAGAGTTTCCCCTCGTAACACAGCGATCTTAACGTTTTCGCGCGATTCGTAGATAACGGACAACTTGTTTAATTTATCGACGCGCGAAAGAATTTCTACACACGATCGTACGCGTTTCGTAAATACGGAAATTCTTAATAAATTTTCGTTTCCCAGACAGATAACCTGAATAATCTGTTATTTCCTCTTTTTTTTTTTTAAACTCGATTCTTTAAAAACTCGACGATCGTAAATATATCTCTCTCACGCAGAAGAGAAATAATAATTGCAAAATAAATTCGTCGAAAAGAAAAAAAAAAAATCAGACACACCGATTATTTCCTTTAATTACACGCGTTCCTCCGTGAGTCTTTCACTTTTTCGTCGATCTTCGTTTGTTAATAATTATTAAAAAGTTATTAAAAAAAAAAAAATTTCTCCTTCCCTCTTTCTTTTCTCTTCTTTTTATTTCGCGTGTTAGTTTCGTCGCTTCAAATGAACACAACCGGAGGAAATTCACTATCGAAACTCTCACTTCTCCTCTTCCTTTCCTAAATCCATCGATCCAATTTGTCTTCGATCGTTCGTTTCGTCGTTCTTCTCTCTTTAAAGTGTCACTTTTTTTTTTCTTTCTTTTTCAAGAAATCCTTTCCCTTTCCTATCGTACGTCCATTCTAAAATTTCGTTTCATCTCTTCGCTCTCCTCCGCTCTTCTTTCCGTTCTATCCGTTTGAGAAAAGCCGAAGTGGGGAGCCGAATGAAAGAATGAAAACCAAAACTTGCGTTGGATGAATAGGTTGATGGTGGAGTATCTACTGATGTACGAGCAATGATGTAGGACGTCTTATACGAGCCAATACCTGGCCACCGGTCTCCACTTATCAGCTACTAACAATAACGTTTGTTCATTTCATTTGCGAGAAAATGGACTGATTACGTCACGCGTAATGCTTCCTTCATCGGCCTGTTTTCATACTCTTTTAATATCGATCGTAATATCCACGCTTTTCCTCCGCTTCACCTCCTTTTCCTCCTTCTCATCTCAAAGAATCCACGCACAATCCTTTCTCACTCTCCGCACGAATATATTCCCCCCACAAATTTTTTCTCCCGCTTTCTCCTTTCTTTTTCTCTTTTCTAAACTCATGGAACAATTAAAAAAAAAAAAAAAAGAAAAAAAAAACCAAGGATTTTTTTACCTTAACAACAACTATATCCACGATCTCTTCTTAGACTAGCGGTCACTCATCAGGAACTTTTTTTTTTTTTTCGAATCGACACAGCGTTTGGAAACCTCGGATCGAAAATCACCGTTCTTATAGTATCGCGAGCCACCTCGCGATTCGTCGATGGGACATTAAATGCCTCTGCTATCTGCCTCCGTTCTTTTTAATTGCAAAAGCGGGCGGGGAAAGAAGAAAAAAAGAAAAAAAGAAAAAAGAATCTTTTCGAAGAAATAGAGGAAAACAAGATTCACGTGATACACTTGTCACCCTGAATTCGCACTATCTGTGTATTCTCGTCGTCGACGAGGAGGTGCGCCGCTCGGTTTCACCGATAACGGTTCCCCGCTTCATCGCGATCTTTCCGATCTTTCACCGATCTCGTACCGCTTCGAACCGTCGAAAGTCCCTGCGGCCACGTCTTATCAACGGCCAGCCATCTCCTTATCGTTGCACGCACGCTCGAAATCGCTGATCGCGGCCGAAAGCGAGCCGAAAGCGGGATCCTTCGCTTTGCGAAAGCGAATATTTCTGCGCTCGATTCGCAGGGCAGAAATTAGGCATTATCGAGCGATCGATAATTGCCTTCTTTTATCGATCACGCCGACTCGATCGCTCCAACGAGCAAAAATCGTCCTTTTTCGAGATAAGCGGTCTTGTTTGTTTCCGATAGGGAGAACCAACGGATTTCCAGATTGTTCTTTCGCCAATTTCTGTATACCTTGGATCGATATATTCCGACAATTCACTCGATACGGAGCAGTATAGATATATATTTGGTAATAATAAAAAATTATTAGACGGATATTCGGTAGCGCGAGATATGGAAAGTCGTATAGTAGAGTCAATTTGCACACTTTATCTATATCGTATTACTTAGTATTAGTTTCGTGGATACTCGAATACGTGTTTCGTTACGTTTGCTCGGGTATCAAAGCCACGTATTATGATTTATCTCGAACGATTTATCTTTTCGCCGAGTCTCTCTCTCTCTCTCTCTCTCTCTCTCTCTCTTGCTGATTTATCAAGCTTGGGAAACCTTGATTTTACGATCGAAAAAGTGACGTTTCGAAAAAAAAGTAAAAAAATGGCGAATTTGATCAGACGAGAATCTTTATTCCATTCTCTTCGATTTCGTGGATCGATTCTCCTCCTCCTATGGGAAAAATGTTCTCCGTCCAAAGTATTCGGGTAGCGTCGTCGTCGAAAGAGATTGAAGCCGGAAAGGGTCGATCAACACCGGTAAACGTTGAATCGCATTAGCTGTTAGTAATTTATTCGCATTATAATGGCGCTATCCCATAGCAGAAGAGGTCGTATCGTTTGTAGGCGTCAATTGAGAACGATATTAATTCTCGAGAGGAGCGACATGCTCGAAAGCATGGCCTCACGTGTGTTTGCACAACTATAACTCGCGTTTACGTCTATTCTTCTATTTCCACTCCGTTCTTTTTTTCTTTTTTTTTTTTTTCATAAAAACACGTCCAACCATTTTCATCCTCGAATGCCGTAAAAATTCTCGCGAATTATCCAATTATTCGTTTGAATTGGCGGTGTAACACGTTCCCCGCAGGCAGTTTAAAAACATCGTGAAACATGACGTTCCGTGACTTTAAATGGACGGTGGAAAAAAAGAAGAAGAAGAAGAAGAAGAAGAAGAAGAAGAAAAATTCATTAAGCTTCCCAGCGATGACGACCGATTGCATGCAAATCGAGTCTTCGAACAGGTTTCCGTATCGATCACATGGAAAATCTCGTTCTGCTCGTATGACTGCCATTGTCATGCTTGATTAATTGCTTGCAACGTAATACGTGATAATCCCGACTCGACATATAAATTTATAAAATAGAAGGAGAAAAGTACTTAAAAAAACAAGTTCCACGAATGCATACATAATTGAAATTCATCAACGAATATTTTTAAAACAATCTCATTTATACACGTGTCGTGAATATATATATATATGAATATATCATACGAAGTATATTTTAAAGAAAAAAAAAATAAAGATAGATACCTATTATACTTTCTTTCAGAAAGAAAGAAAGAAAGAAAGAAAGAAAGAAAGAAAGAAAAAGAAAAGGTATATATATTCTACCTCTTTGAAGAAAACCAACCAGCAGTCTCGTTTGTCGCGATATTTGCACGATCGATGCGCAACGAATCTCGTCCTTCTTCCGTTCGAGACGCTCGATCTCCCCTGACACGACATCAGCTGCCCACTTCCGGTTATCGCCACTCACCTTTCCCCGACGTTTAAAACGGATCAAAAGCGACGCATCAATATGATCGGGCGCGTTAAAGCGTACTGTAGGTCGAGCCTCTTATTGCGAGCTGTCCAACCGTACCGTCCACGGCTTCGATAACGAGCTTTTAATTAAACTAACGAGATCGAACGAGCCACCAGTTCCTCGCTCGGCCTATAAGATTTTTCCTTTTCGACGATCGTCCACCGAGACAGGAACATTCTTTTCTCTCTCTCTCTTTTCTTTTTTCTTTTTTTCTTTTTAGTTTTTTCTTTCACGCAAAATTTCAAAAAATTCGAAGAAACGCGAGCGAGAAGAGTGAATTTATTTTTCGAGCGAGTTGATCACGATATTAACGAGATTGGTCGAATCGACGAGCTGGATGGGAACGAAATTCGAGATTGTTGCTTCGAAAATTTCGAAAATTTTTAAGCGGATCTTCCAAGATTGTACGAGCTTTCCTCTCTATATCGAATAACGCGATTACCAACGATTTCTTTTCTGTATTCGCGGGAATATCGATTACCTACTATTATCTGTTGCATCTTTGATCCGTGTCCGTACAGGATTAGTCGAGGTATAATAATTGGATTATTGGTTTAACGTTCGATATCTGTCTTCTATCTGGTTAGATAAATACTTATCTATTTATTATCGTCCGCAGTGATTAATCGAGTAATAACACTCGATACTCGTGCATTCTTTCGTGGAATTTTTTTCTTTTCGTGGAATTATTTCGTCGCAAAATTCATCGAATCGAGGAAGCGTCTCAAACGTTTCTTCTTCAAAATTCAAATTGATTAATTCGCGTTTAACGCTGTACTCGGAAGGCATTACAATATGGAGAAGAATTCTGGAGGAGAATCGGCGAGATCCGCGATTTGAAGATCGTCGTTTCGTTCAGGAAACGGGAAATCCGATACACCGCGAGGAATCGTTACGAGTTCCCGCGATTAACTCTCTGGTTCCGCGATCACAGATTAATTCGGTGACCTTACGTGCTCCACGCAAGGTGAATTAACCTTGTACTGGTCAACGTTATCCGTGGGAATTAAAGAACGAGGGCCGTTCCTCGATTATTCATAATAACCAAATATTCATGTATTTAATAAATAAACCAAAGTTATTATTAATAAACCGAAGTTATTATCCTCGCCGCTATTCCAATTAAAGAATAGATGGCTGTTTTGTTCGAGTCAAGTATTTTCTTTGCCATAGAATTTCTGCCCCAAAGAAGGCTCGCGGAGAGAATCGAGGAATTAAGATTCCAGCGAAACGAAGAAATTCTCGAAGAAACCAATATTTTTCCATTCATCGATACGATACATATATATATATATAGAATTTTTCGTATAACAGGCGCCTAATTTTCTTTCCAGGGATATTTATTAACGTTTCTTCTCCACTTTCGACTCGTAAATATTTAAATATATTTTTCATTAACGAATTCCACGAACGTTCTCGATTAACGAGTTAACACGCCAAGGCTACGAGTGTTTTTCTTTCCGTTCCCATAAATTTTACAATTAATACGCGTAATACGCCTCTCAACCTTTTCGATAAACGACCATGATAGGTTGATAATAGGCTGAATTGAAATTGGAGACAGAAGGGTAAACACAGCGTGGCGTAAACATTGGACAGAGACACGAGGAAAATATATCGGGTCCCGTTCGCGTTAATAGGGCTACGCGATAAATTGCAGCTGGTGATCTATGATAGATGATTGACAAGTATCGCGACAAAATAAGTATTAGAATTACTTAGCTGTGTGTTTTTCAGTGATGAAACTGCCATGATAAATGACCGATTGAACGGTAAAAAACACGTTCGATCGGTGATTATACAAGACGCATATACGTATATACGTGTATATATATATATATATACACACGAATCAATTTTACCGATCCTGATCCCGATAACTCGTTCCAACGTTTGAACTTGGACAATTGCCCTTGAAATATATATATATACGTGTGTTCTTTTAATTCACGAGATAAATCGATATTTTTCCAATATTTTTGAATACACGGCCGGCGCCAGAAGGCTAGCTCGCGAATGGCTAGCTCAAACAAAAACGTAATCATCTTTTAGCCGAGAATCATCTTTCTAGAGAGATAGGCTACCTTGAGAATCGGCCACGTGATTCGTCTGCCGTTTCGTTCTATAATCGTCTCTCGATTACGTTCGTTTTTTCCAATTATCATCGACACGCTCACTCTTCTTTCCTACGCGTCGCAGAATAGATGTAACGCGCACCGTTTCGATCACTACGTAGAATACGATAATTTTATTTAACAATGTGTTCGCACGATGATCGTTTTATAATTATAACTTCGATTATAATTGTTATATGTTGGAATAGTTAGTCGAGTTAATCGTGGATGAAAAAGAGCGAGAGACTCTTCGAGACTCACCTGGTAGAATCCTGACGACCGACGCCACCGCCGATGCTGCTGCTCTGGGTGCTGACCCTGACCAGGGTGACGTACCTGGGCAGGCTGGACAGTGTTCCCGTGTTCCTCTGCTCCAGCAAGGGTGAGTCGGCCGTGTTCGGGTTCTCCTGCAGCTGTTGCTGCCTTCTATCCTCGTTATCCTTCTCCTCCTCCTCCTCGATGGTGCCAGGAAGACGGAACAGCTTCTGTGGCTCCTCCATGCCACCCGATTGCCACTCGCTTCACGCGTACGAATGAACCTCCATTGAAAATATCAAACTCATCCTCCCACTCGCCCTCCTACTTTTCTTTCTTTCTCTCCTCCCCCTCCTCCCTTGCCCCTCTCTCCCTCTTTTTCTTCCCTCCCTCTTTCCTTAATATTTACTCGTATCACCACAGATCTTTTTACCTTTCTTCTTTCCTTTTTCTCCGATTTCCAATCCAATTCTCGTTTCACTTTTCAGGTCTATTGTATCGTCCTTTTCTCCGTGAAAGAAAGAAAGAAAGAAAGAAAGAAAGAAAGAAAGAAAGAAAGAAAGAAAGGAAAAAAAAAAAAGAAGAAGAAATCAAATCAACTTTCGGAATCACGAACGGCGACGATGACTTTTTTTCGTCCAGGATGAATGAAGTCGGTGGAAGTGGCCACGCGACGATGACTCACGGCCGTTGGAGAGCAAAGTTCTGTTTTCTGCCATCGTTTCTTCGTTTCCTCTCACTTTCCTCCGGCATCCACACCGCCCTTCCGTTCGCGGAATCCCACCATTCCTCGTCCCTACGGCCGGCAATCGGTGTCACTGTTTAATCCACGTGTTTACGTGCGCTATTTCTTTTGTATCGTTCCCTTTTTTGTCTTTTCTTTTCTTCTCTTTTCTTTTTTTTATTTTTTCTTTTTCCTCTCCCCCCCCCCTTCCCTTCCCTATTTCGCCCTACGCGCGGTCTCATTGGTCGATCGATACGAAACGAACGGAGGTATAAGGGGGGTGAACAGGATGCCGATGAATTTGCGTCACGCTTAAGGCAAGGTTCCGGACGATGTGACGATGACGCGATACTTGTTTCCGGTTTCTAGAGAATTTTCAGGAATTATCGATCTTTTCTTTCCCCTTTTTTTTCTTTTTTCTTTTTTTTCACNTTTTTCACAAGTAATGTAATAATCGGTATTAATTTTAATGTAATAATTTTTTTCACAAGTAGTGTAATAATCGGTATGGCCAAAAATGCATGCGTGCGTTATCTTTTTTCCTTGATCCTTTTTCTTTCTAATCGCGATTCATTTATTTTCTTTCCAGTATCTATCATCGGTATCCAAGTAACGATTCTAACGATCTAAAAATATCAGTGTTGCGATTTATTATTTCGCAACATTTTTCTCTCTCTCTCTCTTTTCTTCCTCTTCTATCGAACGAAGAAAGAATGTTTGGATCGAGAGAAACGGAATCGTTCGCATTCTTGCTCCGACATGGTTCGAATTTGAAAGATAAAAAAAAAAAAAAAAAGAAGAAGAAAAAAACGAGATAATGGGACGAGAAAAAATGCGGAGCTTGAGGTGGGAACAATGCTCAGATTAGACGGTTGATGAGCTATTGCATAATTTTGCAGATTTTTATCGATTAAAAGGAGTCGTAATATCTGAATCATGCGAGAACCACACGTAATCGTCGAGCAGAATTTTCGAAGTCGATCGAAGGAAATAATAGTTTCGCGGTAAATCTGAGACGATCGTTTCCACGACTATTTCCCTGCTTGTCGAATATTTTATTATTATACCGCGAATAATATTACGACCGGCGAGAAAACTTAACTGACGTATACTCTTGACAGAGGCACAACGTAAAAATGCAAATATCTGCACAAATACCGCTTATCTCGCTCTCAGGTGACATAAATTATATTATACCAGATTTCGTGATTCATATCTCTTCGCGAGTGCGTTTTTATCGCGGTCTTGTCAACTTTTGCGATAACTTGGACGGAGACGGAGAGAGGAGAAAAAGAAGAAGAAGAAGAAGAAGAAGAAGAAAAAGTTGCGCGCGTCTACGTTTCGAGGAACGATCCATAAATCATGGACGGTGGTACCGTTATCCGAATGCGAAAAGAGCGAAAGTATAGACCGTTAGTCGGGCCGAAAAAAAAAGAAGAAAGAAAAAAGAAAAGGCGAAAAAAAGAAAGTCGATGGTTTTTTTTATTATTTTCTTTCTTTTTTTTTCTTTTCTTAATCCCAGGCGAAAACAAGTCGGGGAACGAATGAAAACGATTTCCTTTCGACGATCGATCATAAACGCGTAACGTCCGTTCCATTCGTTTCGTTTTTCGATTTTCGAACGATCTCTCCGCGAGAATCGAATATTATTCGAAAGTATTGAATGAATTTTTTTCTTTGCTCTATCCAAAACATCTTTTAAAACAATGGAATGCTGAGAGACAATATATCAAGCGAAATTCTCCGCGCGTGAAAATTTATTTCAAATAAATCTAAGAATAAAAAAAAAAAAGAAGAAGAGAAAACAAAACGGAGCAAAACAAAAGATCGAAACAAAATGAAATAAATGGAAAGAGGGAAGCTTTTCACTCCCGGCCAAAGTGAAAATGAGATCGATCAAAAATCCTACGAACCCGTTTTATATCAAAGATAGCAACGATAGCGATAAGGATCCAAGGTATATCGGATCGTCACTTGTGACTTCGAGGCTTTCCCGCGTTTTCCAGCTGGAGCAGCGCACGTAAGCGCGTCGCACTCGCAACTGTTTCAGATTCCCCCGTTCGGCCGTTGCACGAGATTGTGCCAACGGATGCCATGGCGTTTACGGCGTCTTATGGCGGGGATAATGCAGACGCACGGTGCCACATACACGCACGCGTTACACGCCTGCCACGTGTGCCTGAAACGCGCCGATTATTCGCGAATTTCGCCGGATGCGAAACCCCCCTCTCCCTCCCTCCCTCCCTCCCTCCCACCAACCTCGTTCGAATTTTTCGCCCGGCTTCGATTTGTCCCTACTTTTCCTTCCTTTTCTCTTCTCTATCGAACGCAATTTCTTTTCTTTTCTTTTCTTTTCTTTTCTTTCTTTTTTTTTTTTTTATCGATAATCCAGAAAAGAAGGGAGAATTGGATCGAAACGTTAAACATTCTTTTTCGAGAATGGACGACGATCGAGAATTTTATCGCGAACAGGGATAGATCTATTATTCTTTTACGATGGATTTTCGAACGAAGATTTATTCATGTTTAAGAGTATGTAATGCATCTGAAAGAAAAAGAAAAAATGTGAAGATAGGCTATTTTGGAAGAAAAGATTTTTAGAAGAAATGCTACGGTTGTTAGAAACCGATCTAACACCTCTTACCTCCGCGAATAGAGACTTCCGATAACAAGATCTCTCTCAACGAAAACTTCACTTTCGTCTTTAATTTTCAATTAAAATAAAAAATCGAGCTGTTCAGAAACCAATACGAGAGAGATAAAAGAAAAAAAAAAATCATGAGAAGAGTAATATTCAAACCCGAATCAGGTATGCCTTCTCTCACGCACGCGAGATTAAAAACAATATTCTTCCAACCAAAAAAGCTCCTTCGTGCAATTTGGAACTCCCTTTCAAATCCCTCGAGTGTTTGTTAACAAACAAGTGAACCATCTCGCGAGCACTCGTCGCACTCGAGGACCTCCCCTTTCTACGTTTTTAATTGAAAAAAACCTCGACCGTTCTTTTTAAGTACGTTTGGCCAACGTGAAGAGAGAAAGAGAGAGAGAGAAAGAGAGACGGTTTATCGAAGAGTATCGTATAATTGCTCGAGGTTTAATCGTGTGCGTGATCGCCGCCACGAGGAGCAGAGGGACGTTTCCGGTAGGGGAAGAGCGTAGAGAAACTTGAGCACGTGAGCATTAGAGGTTCGGTTGGTCGAGTTCGGTTGCTCGGCAATGATTCTTGCGGTTCAATTCGCGTTATCCACAGATGATCCGTATCCGTCAAGTAATTGGATAATCGTGTTACACACCGTCGATTTGTCCGTCCGAGAAACTCGCTCGAGTGCAAGTTTCAATTTGCGCGGGGGGGTAAATACTCGAGATGGTTTTGTTGTTCCTTTGCTTTGAATATATTGCTATTCGTTTCATCTTGGGATTGTTACGGCTTCTTAAAGCTAAAGGAGAAAATGGGGAAGAGGAGTTGAGGTGGAGTTCTTCCGGAACGAAGAACGGGGGGATCGATATTTGAATTGAAAGATTTTGAGTGGAAAGATGATCGATAAATGATCGGAGAAGAAGAGAAGAACTTAATCTTTCGTATTCGATAAGGAAATTTTTTGAGAAATTATTGTATTTACGCGCGTGTTACACATCTGATTTACGACGCGTATTACCGCAAAAGCGGTAATCGACCAACAATTTAGACAGAGTTTTCCAAGAATTTCAACTTTTTCTTCTTCTCGTTCCCCTGGCAAATTATTTAGACTTTGATTTAAACCCACCAGCGTATCGTTAAGACCACTCGTTTCGAGAGTGTTAAAGAGTACGATTGGAAAAAAAAAAAATCATCGGAATCACTTACTTCGTATTTTCCTTAAGTCGACGCGTTTCCGCGTTACGAAAGATAAAAGATCACAAAGAGACACGAGAATTCTTCCTTTCGCCTTTATCCTTCCTCGGAGATTAAACGATTTCTATATATATATATATATATCGATCGACGATTTAATATTTATCGCGAATCGATTGTTCATTGATGTCGATGCGTAAATACGAACAGAGGGACTCGAGTATTATTCAAAAGAACTATTCATTCACTCACTGTTATATACGGTACCTTATGTTATCATTGTTATCCCTTCTACGAGGAGTGCTGAAGAAGCTCACTGATGTTTTATTTATCGATGATATCTCCAGCGAATAAGAAAAAAAGGAAAAGAAAAGGAAAGAAAAAAGAAAGAAGAAGTTATCATCTCTCTCTCTCTCTCTTTCTTTTTTTTTTTTGCTCTTTCGTGCCAATTAAAATTAAGCCCGACCCTGAAGAAATCTCTTATCCGTCGTCGCGATAAGCGAATTTGCATAAATTTTTTTCCTTTTTGTACACGCACAATTGACTCAGAGTAGTAAATCTCGTAGGGTGACGACTATATTGTTAAAACGATTAAACGATTCGCGAGGAAACATCTGTCGACAGTTTTTTAAAAATTAATTTAACACACAGGTCGAGTAACAGTTGTCGGCGAGTCCACGAACGAATAAACATTTCGAAACAAACGTACCTTGATACGAGAGAATCGTTAAAAATTTATCAACGGGTATTACATAAACGCGAGGAAGAATAAGAAAAGGAAAGAAAAAAATAAAAAAATTGTCGCAAGAAAGACGGTCGACGATTCTCTCGAGAAAAACAAAAATCTACGTTTCGTGCTCTTTTCAGTTTTCGTGATCAATCCGGAATCACGCGCACGACGCCACGATGGATTCGTGGAAGGAAGGAGAAGTTGGACACGCGATCGGATGTTGGAAAATTCGCGTTCCACAGGCCGCATTAATCACCGATCATCATCCGACCGGCCGTTTCGTTCGTTTCTTTCCGCCGTGCACGGATCACGTGAACCACCGGCAAAACGATTCATCAACTCCCGATCAATTAACGCATTCCCTCACGTCATCGACGTTTACCTTTCAAACGAGGCAGGGATGCCAACCGTCCGTAACCGCGCGACGCCCAACAACCAATCACCGACCTTCCTCCTCCGCCAAATTCCCCGTTTCGTATTTTCGATTTTCGGTTTCGAAAAAAGGAAGAAGAAGAAAAAGAAGAAGAAGAAGAAAAGAAGAGATAAGGGAAGACGCGCGAGATAGCACGGTTACGCACCTTGCGTTGAATTTCAATCCCGAGTCATTGACACGGTTGGCCACGTGGTCTTCCGCCACTCCACTCCCAGATGTCGTTCGATCGACCGCTGCGTCACTTTTCGAATTACGAATTTTCCCGCCACGTGGACAGGTCGCGAAAACACGGGACGAGACGACGGAGAGGCAGGCTCGACGTTGATATTTCGCCTTCCTCGTTCGGGATGATTGGAACCGCGATGGAAGAAGGGCGGAGGAGATGCGTGGTCTCGGTTGAAACCTCGTGAAACTGCGATCGCGTTGGCAACCAGCAGCGTCGTACCGAGCAGCGAGCTTGCCCAGTGACGTCAACGCACCTTCCTCGCCCGCCTTTATCCCTACCATTTTCTCTTTTACCTAGCCTTTTCCTCCTACTTCTCAACGAGATCGAGGATCGTCGATCAGCATTGAGTCACGTATACACACGCGTACACACATTCGCCGCGACTCGTCTTTGCCTGACAACTCGTCGTCACTGACAACTCCTCCGTCTGTCGCGTCGCCTCTCTTCTTCTTCTTCTTCTTCTCGATCCCTTTGTTATCTCGAAATAAATTCTCCTTCCATTTTCACCCGTTTCCCCGATCGAAAAGATCGTTACACCCTAGAAAAAATTGATTTCTCGTTTCATACCAATAAATGGTAATCCGTTTCTCTTATCGATTTCTTTTACGATTCTTTTTACTCTTGGCAATTGAAGGATGACATTGGCATAGGTTGGCTGTTCGAATTGGGGGAGGGGGGGATGTCGATGATCGAAAGAAAGTTACCGATTCGTTGGTTCGGACTTCGTTGGTGAACCTTGACGGGTTTATGAGAATTCATAAAGGCTATATGTTTATACAGTCGCTCGTAGCATTCGTATCGTACGAGGATGACGCGCATATTCGATGAGATTTAAACGCGCGGTTGATTCAGACGTTGGATTTTTTTTTTTTTTTTGGAACGAGTTTTTTCGACTCAATTGCTCGCACCGTTTTCCAATTATTAATTAATCATCGACCGCTGCTCGTTATTCCCGTTCGAAGAAGAAGAAAAAAAATTATACAAATATTTCGATCTTTTCGATCTTTCTCGTTACATTTTTTTTTAAGAATCCATCTTCTCAAAGCTACGACGAAATTAATTGTTATCAAATCGATTTGATAAAATATATCGCGCAATCGCGCTCCTCTCCAATAATAAAACAACAACAGCTGGTGGCCGAAAATTATTCATTGAAGCAATCATTGAAGCGATTAGCGATCACGATACGTTAAATTTCGCCCCATGTAGGCCGGTTTACCATCAGACGGTTCTCAACTATTATCCCATTCACGTAACATTAACTCGTTAGCTGATAGTTTTCGTGGATCGCGGGATCGTTTCGCGAGCGGAGCACGTGCGCCCATCGTGGATCGGTTTGTGTGCACACCGTACACGCTAATGCGCACTAACAGGGCCAAGTGTGTACACCGGTGTCCGCTAATGGGGGACACACTTCGCCGTGATAATAACCAATTACGTGAACGAGGCCGGAGGGCACGACCGTGACGTTTCCACTGTACCATCGCTCCATCTTCCACGAAACCAACCGCCATTATCTCCGTGCGATTTCCCCGATCTTTCGCTATCGTTCATCGCTCAATTCCAAACGTCGTTAAATCGACGATTACGCGTTTTATTATAACTTTTTCGAAACCGAGATCCGTGAAACGCGCGTCGATCGTATTTTCGACGCCTCCTCCAGTTTTTTCCCTCGTGAATCACAACGAGTTCGAGTTATAATATTTAAAGGAATCGTTTTCGCAATTTCTTCGACATATGATTCACTAATTTAAATGGAAGCTGCACACTCGTAACGGTTTCAGAACGCGTCGATCTCTGTAATTCGCGACGTCACTCATTCATTTCGTGCATTTTTCTTAGCAAGGGGGAGAAAAAGAGCGCGAGAGTGAGATCTAAAGATTGTAGGAATGTACGGCGACGCGCGGCTCGGTTTCAAAAGTGTGGCAAACAACCTTCGATCGCGGCTATCTTGGTCACGATTGATTGTCGCGAAAACGAGGCGAACGAGCTCGTAATAAAATTGTTTTTCGAGTAATTATTCATTCTCACGCCCTCGAACGATCCACGATAATTTTATCGCTCGTCTTCGATCCGCGGCGTTGCTTTTTCTTTTTCCTTTTTTTTTTCTTTTTACTCATACTGCTCTTTCCACGCCTTTCATCGTTGCGATCGTTGAACCTTGGTTTACTTCGAATTACCTTTAACTCGATATTGAAAAGTATCGCTTGGAAAAATCGATCAAGCATGAATGAAAAAAATGTGCGCGAAGAATTATTCTTGCCCCTTCTCGCAACGCTAATTTGTCCTTTCAGTTATTTTTAACTCGATATCTATTTTCGTAT